TTTTGGTAGTATTTGTAAATTACGTAAATTATGATCATATCCGATAGATTACAATGGGGCATTTGCAATGTGTCAAGCAGGTTTGATTTAACCTCATGATTATATGGAGAAATGGAAGCTTTTCCGAAGGGTAACATTTTAGGAAATTTTATGATTGTTAACATACATATGCCAGATATATCATATACAATCATATACATGTACAAGAAACTCCGTCATGTACTATATATAAGAATGGGGGGGGGGCACGAGAGGCGGAAGATTAAAAGCTTTCTCCTAACGTGGAAAAGAACATTTCTGCTCCGACTTTTCTGGCTTTTCTAGCTATCCTGCACACAAGCAATCTACAATTTCCACTTCATTAGTTTTTAATGAATGTGCTTAATTAGGCTAAAGAGCACATCCTGTTATCAGAACGGGGGGGCGGTCACGAGAGGAGGAAGATTAAAGCTTTCTCGTAACGTGGAAAATGACATTTCTGATCCGACTTTTTTGGGCTTTTCAAAGTATGTGAGGTCTTGTCTTCTCATCAGGCATTAAACACGCAGCCTGTGAGGTCTTGTCTTCTCATCAGGCATAAAATCACGCAGCCTGTGAGGTCTTGTCTTCTCATCAGGCATAAAACACGCAGCCTATGAGATCTTGACTTCTCATCAGGCATAAAATACGCAGCCTGTGAGGTCTTGTCTTCTCATCAGGCATAAAACACGCAGCCTGTGAGGTCTTAACTTCTCATCAGGCATAAAACACGCAGCCTATGAGATCTTGACTTCTCATCAGGCATAAAACACGCAGCCTGTGAGGTCTTGACTTCTCATCAGGCATAAAACACGCAGCCTATGAGGTCTTGTCTTCTCATCAGGCATAAAACATGCAGGCTATGAGGCCTTCCTTGACCATCCTACGGTCTCACAGCGCCATAGCGATATTAGCCAGAACTGCAACATGTACCGTTGGTGCGGTCACAGAGTTAGGCAAAACTTTAGGGAGACCGTTGGGGCGGTAACAGAGTTAGGCAAAACTTTAGGGACACCGTCGGGGCGATCACAGAGTTAGGCAGAACTTAAGCGAGACCGTTAAGGTGGTCACAGAGTTACGCAAAGCTGTGAGACCGTAGGATTTCTGCACAGAACAATTTCTGCACCTTTCTCTAGTATTGTGTAGCACTACTTTGTACCCTACGGGGTTCGCCCATGAATACTGTGTTGTGCGGTCGGAACCATTTAAATCTCACGAACATGCAAATGAGGTAATTTGTACCATTTAAATCTCACGAACATGCAAATGAGATAATTTTTATGAAGATCACGCCGTGTGGCGCTACACATGTCCATAAAACGTGACTCAAATGCTAAGTTATATATCTTGAAGTTTCTTCCGGTTCTTAAGAAGCCAACACGACCAATTGTACCGTGTCGGCATCAAACACAACCGGGCCGCCATGTTTGTTCACATGTTGAATAATAAACGTAGCGTGCCTTTCGTAGTAACATTCCCGAAAACGCCGCCGAAATTGCGCTTTCCTGTTATGATTTTTTGCTGAAATTGTGTTGTTACGATTATCGCTATTGTTGTAATTAATAAATGTTAGAGTATGAAATAGTCGTTCCCTTGAGTGCAAAACGTCGAAACCTGGCCGATGGACATGTGTAGCAGTGGCCTCTAGCGATTTGTTCCAAACTGCAGGGTCACATTTACCTGTGGCTGACGTAACTATGACGTAACTGTAGTAGTACACAACTTACAGTACAAGTATCAAAGCGCAAATCTACGCCGACTGAACACGCACCATAATTCAACTTTTACAGTCTCAAAACTGACGTATTCCTCTAACATTTACCACAGGTTCCATCTCGATGCCACGCACAGAACAATTTCTGCACCTTTCTCTAGTATTGTGCAGCACTACTTTGTACCCGTA